TGTGTTTGTGTGTGTGCGTGGATATATATGTATTTTTTTCATGTGCACACACACACACACACACACATATATATATATATATATATATATATATATATATATATATATATATATGTATATGTTTTTTTATATATGTACTTTTTATATGTTTCGAATATGGTGATATATACAAGCAACAAGGCAATCCTTTCTCCAGGTTAACTGTTGAAGTACTCTCAATAAGGCCGGTAAGAGGCTATCAAACACGACATAAGAAGACTGAGGCTTGGACTGTAGTTTTGGGATATCTCGAAAGCCTTTGAAGTTACGTGTCTCTGGATACATTTTTGAATTGATCCAGTCTGTTATCCTAAATCCTAAAATGAAACTTATCCTGAACAGTCACTTTTCCAGTTCTTTTCGTACTAATGTCACCCATGGCTCCATCCTTGATCCTCTCTTTCTTTTTTTTTGTAATTTTCAATCACGCCCTTTCGGATGGCGTCAACGCTGATGACACAACTAATCAGTTCAACAGGGTCAAAATAGCAGCCGATGTCCTAAACGACGTTCGATTTGTTGTTAAAAGAGGCATATGATAGCTTCTTAAAGTTAACGCTTCAAAAACTAAACTGTTCTCTATTAATCGCCTGAGAGATCCCTCTATTCCTTCCGTCAGCACGACTGATGCTAACCTCAAGTAGACTCACTCGTCGCGTAATCTCGGGCTAACGTTCTAGGTGTTAGACATTTTCATGACGGTAGTCTTCGAGTATAGAATCCAGAGGTTGGCAGTGAATATTTTGGAGACAGTAGGAAAGCGTAGTTCAGGTTCGCAGTGGATATCGCAGCAAAGTAGCAGAGCGTAGTTCTTCCGTCTGTCATGTTCACCGGACAAGTTGCCTCTGGTCATTCCAGTAAGAAAACAAAGATGGCCGCCTTTATACACGACGGATACAGTGTTGTGCGGCTTCTGATTGGTCAACCTTCTATTGGTCGACTATAAAGGGAAATAAGTCATTTTGACTCGCTCACTAGTTATATACGGTATATACCCAAAAAACCGTAACATGACATGACATGAAGTGGAACGATTATATTAAATCCATTGCTAGAACAGTTGCTAAGAAAGTGGGTTCACTGTGTGGTGCTAGACAATTTTTCTCTTCATGATCTATCTTACATATCTAATGTATATCATATGTCTACCATTTGTCCATGCTTAGAATATTGCTGCTTCATTTGGTCCGTTGCTCCTGCTGTTTACCTCGAGCTCCTTATTAATATCCAAAGAAGAATCATTGGTCCTGATCTGGTGACATGAGTTCAGTCACTTTCGCACCGCCGTAAGGTCATCTCTTTGAGGCTTTTCTATAAAGAATTTAATAGTGATTGTTCATACGACCTCTTTGCTATGGTACCTAGACTTTATGAATTTTAGCGCAGTACTAGATTAGCAAGAACATTTCTTCAATTTACAGCTGAGTTGGCTAGATGTAACCGCAAGTTCTATGACAAGAATTTCTTTGCTCGCCATTCTCAGTTTTGGAACTCTCTTCCAGTTCCATGCATTCCAGACAAATTAAATTTCTAAAAATTTAAATGCAATGTCAATCGCTCTCTAGTGTCTTCCTGATTATTCTTTTCTCTTTCTACTCATTACTAATGTTTTTTTTTTTAAGAATTCAACCCCAAGCAAAGCGGAAGCCACTAGCACGCAAGGGCTTTCAGAGTAGGAGCGAGAGCAAATAGGAGTGATAGAGGAAAGGATGAAGAGAAGGATAGGGGATAGATCAGGGCATCTGGAGACGTCGATTGACATTACATTTGAATAGATGGAGATGATAGCTATCAGGATGACAAGAAATGGGGAGTGAGATCCACAGACGAGACGTGCGAGACATGAATCTATTGGAGTAGAAGAGACAGCTACATTTAACAGTTTCGACAATCAAACGGTGTGAGCGAGATATCAACCTAGTAGAACGCTTAAATTCATGAAGTCTGGGAACCAGCGAAAGCAACTCATCGGAGAAAGTATTTGTAAAAAAGACAGAGGGAAGCAACGGCAGGTCTGTGAGAGAGCGGATGCAGACGAGATGCTTCTGTTCCTAATTCCTATGCACCCTGTAACCCCTTGCTTCCCAGTGGCTACAATGCTTTTTTTTTGGGGGGGGGCGGATAAGTATTAAAGAAAATCAATAGATTGTAAATAAAGTGTCATCAATTTAAAGTTGAATTGGCTAAATGTAACCATAAGTTATATGACACCAGTTTATTTGCTCGCTATTCTCGCTTTTGGAACTCTCTTCTGTTTCTATGTTTTTCAGCAAACTCTGGTCTTTAAAAATTTAAATTAAAGACCAATCGTTTTCTACTGTCTTCCTGATTAGTTTTCTATTCTTCTCGCTCCTTAATAAGGTTTTCTATTGATCCAAATCCAGTAATCCCTTGTGTCTTAATAACTTTACTGCCTAGCTTGTGTTGAACTCGATTAAAAAGCAACAACAAAGAAGCAAAAACAGACATTAACTAATATTTTTTGTAAATGTGGTTATTGATATGTACCATATATGTATATCCATATATTTTACATATGCAAACATACCAGGATATTTGTGTATACCTTTGTGTTATTTTTCTAATTACTTAGATGTTTATTTTTATATTTAACTGGTATTTCTACCTTTGGAGCTTGAAGCATATAAGCGGTGGATGTCTATTTTTACATTTTTTTTTTATTTCTTTATGTTTATTTTAGATATATATTTTTAAAACAATCCCCGCAAATAATATAGACGGCTCCACTATAACGATAGTCTGGTATATATATATATATATATATATATATATATATATATATATATGATCGAAATAAAAGTATAAAAACTTAATATTACGAGACATATGTCATATAAAACTTAATATTACGAGACATTTATTACGAGAATATGTCTCGTAATATTAAGTTTTATACTTTTATTTCGATCATTAAATTTTGTACCTCTAAAAATATCTTTATATATATATATATATATATATATATATATATATATATATATATATACAAAAATACCTTTTATATATATATATATATATATATATATATATATATATATATATATGAATTTAAATTATGTAACAGTCAGTCTTAATCGTCTCCTTCTGGCCCTGCGTCATATGAAATTTAAAGAAGCACCTGAAAATTGCGTCGTGCGTGAAACTCAGTGTCATGCTACCAGTGAAGAAAAAATGTATGTTTATTATTGATAAATATCATGTTAAAATAATTAAGGCTAAAAAAGTGATGAAGGACAAAAATATAATACATATATTTAAATGAATTTTTTTTTAAGCTGCTTGTATATTTATTGTTAGTGATGCCATTGGCTGTCGATAGATAAGATCTTGTCTCTCTTGGAGTACCCGGAAGCCGCTGAAAATCTGCGGAAGAAAGAAAAAAAAAACGTTAGTTTGCTTTTCCTTTTATTCGCGAATTCACCAATATATTCCGTCGTATATACGAGGTAAACAAGATTAATGGAGATGGCGTCGTAATATCGAATCGTCGTAGGTCGAGACTGTCGTAACCCGAGGACAACACATTAATAGGCAACACAACATAGCTGCAAACAAATAATGCCAAAAGACAGGCAAAATATCTTATGAAAAAGATTATTCGCAATTTGGAAAAGACAATCAATAAAATTAAATGCCTGTTGTCTTTTTATAACATTTGTCTTGAAGAATATTTGCTGCCTAAATACACATATATATATATATATATATATATATATATATATATAATATATATATATATATATATATATATATATATATATATATATATATATATATATATATATATATATATATATATATATATATATATATATATATATATATATCTTTAGTCCAGGAAAATATTGGAGCAAATTTTTGGGAACAAAGTATTCCAACGAGACTGTCGTAACCTGAGGACAGCACACAAGGGAGATTAAATAGCTACAAACAAATAATACCAAAAGACGGGCAAAATATCTTATGATCCTCGAAGCAATATACATGCAACAAAACAACCATCGATTTTGAAAAATAATGATAATTTACGGGTTCGGATCCTCAAATATATATAACAAAAAAAAAAAGCACATGCACAAATCAGACCTTGCCTACGTCAAAACACTCTTTGCCTACGCCACTATACATTAGTATTACGAAAATCCCCATCTCTACCTATCCTGATGATGACTTAAGAAAGTTGAAAGATTGAACCATATTTCTTTCTAAATGAATTTTGGACAAAATCTGACGGACTTTTCTTAACTGAAAAAGATTATTCGCAATTTGGAAAAGACAATTAATAAAATTAAATGCATGTTGTCTTTTATAACATTTGTCTTGAAGAATATTTGCTGTCTAAATACACAGAATATATATATATATATATATATATATATATATATATATATATATATATATAATATATATTAATCAGTGATCTTTAGCCCAGGAAAATATTGGGGCAATTTTTTGTAAACAAAGTATTCCATATTAAAATATCGGCAACAATAGTAAATAGAAAATGAAAGCCTCAAAAGAATTATATCTCTTATATATATATATATATATATATATATATATATATATATGTGTGTGTGTGTGTGTGTGTGTGTGTGTGTGTGTGTGTGTGTGATAGTAATCTCTATTTTTTTAATTTCAGGTACATTAAGATTGTAAGAGATATAATCTCTAAAGGAAAAGAAAATATTGTTTAGTCACTGAGTCATGGGGAGACGATGTTGGAAATTGTGGATGCGTTTCACAAAGATCAACAGAATAATCGTGAAAGAAATTGAAAGCATTAACAAGATAAGAAAGCACATGGATTTAAGACAGCTATTTAAAAAAGAGATTTGGGGCAGAATTAAAAGGGTAATAAGGGAAGGTATTGGGAAAAACACTGATATCGCGATTGTAAAGAGAGAAAAAGAAATGGTATCTTACGATGGTCGATCAAAATGGTATACCAGTTCTTTAATTCCAACTAGAAAGCGTCCTGGGTATGACGATAAACTACATCCGTGTCCTGAGTATGACAATAAATTACACCCACGTCCTGGGTGAGACGATAAACTAAATCCATGTCCTGGGTATGACGATAAACTACATCTGTGTCTTGGGTATGACGATAAACTACATCTGTGTCCTGGGTATGACAATAAACTACATCCACGTCCTGGGTATGAAAATAAACTACATCCACGTCCTGGGTATGACGATAAACTACATCGACGCCCTGGTTATGATGATAAACTACATCTGTGTCCTAGGTATGACGATAAACTACATCCACGATTTGGGTAAGACGACAAACAACATCCGTGTCCTGAGTATGTCGAGAAACTACATCCGCGTCCTGGGTAAGACGATAAACTATGTCCAGCAGTATGGCCTATTAAATATAATACGTTTTTGAAAAAAGTAATGTTGCCAGCTGTACGTTTTTGAAAAGATAATATTACCAGTTATACTTTTTTTCGACAGAATAGTGTTGTCGGCTAGTAGTTTTTGAAAAAAAAAAAAATTATCAGCTATACATTTTTGAGTAAAAAATATTAACAATAATAGATTTTTGACAAAGCAAAAATATTACCAGGATTAAAAAAATAAATGTCGGCAGTAAATGATCCATTGAGGTTGATATGCCAAACCAAAGCAACCCAACTAGAAACTCACAAGTTATAGCAATATAAATGTTGATGATGTTATACAGGCCGGTAAACAGATATTGTACGAGTGAAGTCGCCAACAACAACAACAACAACAGAAAAATAATGATTAAAAAGACATAATGCCAAGTTTATTTTCGTTAAAGAAAACACATCAATAAGAATAAGGTTACAGTGCCCTAGTTAAAAACATTTCTCCCGGATCTACATGATCAGGGATCGTCAACCTCCTGCACGCGATTTCCAATGGCACGCAACCGGAAATGACATCAGGAAGTCCGAACCAGTAACTACGACAACGCAAAGAAGATAATTGGCTGTTTCAAATGTTAATATATACTAAAGTATATTCACTATATATTACGATATAGAATATATTGTAGAACAGGTATATTGACCTTGATTTGCATAAAAATACGTATGCTGTTTGCACACTGAATGATTTTAAAGCCATAAGTCGCCACATAGCAAAAGGTTGCCGACTCTTTGTTTATTTGGTGTAGAGGTTTGGAAGAGTGTTGTCCCGAGAAGGACAATTTTGTAGTCGCTGTAGATAACAGTTTATTACATATAATTGCTGCTGGCAAAGATGGATGGAGCGACAAGAGCTGGAGTTGGTGAGATTGGCGGCTGATGGCGATCTGGAGATGATAGCTGGGTGTCGCCTGCTAAGACAGATACTAAACTTTGATCTTAGTCGACTTTACTGCGAAAGGATTTTTTTTCTTCTTTGCTTTGAGGCCATCTTATCTTTTCTATCAGTTTTACAACGAGGCTGGTTAAGTTTTGGCTTCCGGTTGATTTTTAAAAAAATATGGAAGTGCCAACGGGATCAGGAAGAGGCAGCTTAAATTTCTGGGACTCATAATGAAAAAAAAAAAGAAAGGCTTGGTATTCACAGGGCGGTGAGACGGAAAGAGGGACAATGGAACGCAACACGTGACATACTTAGCGGGCTTAAGCAAGTGGATGGCAGAAAAGGGTCTGAGAAAAGTAGCAAAAAGACAAAAGTTGTTGAGAACTACAAGAAATAGGATGCAATGGCGAGCCATTATCGCCTACGTCCTAAAGGGACACGGAACATAAGGAAAGAAGAATCAGTTTTTTGATGCTATATGAGATTCATTAAGGAAGGTGGCGTAGTTTTTGGTAATCGATGTAGATCACTATAATAGCAATCGAAGGTTTTATCGCAATTACAATAACTTTGTCATATTATTAATCATCTTTTGTCATAGACTGTATGTTTTTGAATTCACCGGCTACATTAAATTATCTGTAAAGACACAAAAAAACCTAATACAGAAAACACTTTTCTCAAAATCATAATTATTATTACTATTATAATAATTACAATAATTAGTTTTATTATATCTATTGTAATTATTATTGTTACTAAGGCATGGTGGAGTAATGGATAGTGGCTCGGATTGAAGAATCGGAGGGCCGAGTTCGAATACTAGTTGAATCCATTATGTTCACTTACGTGCTAATCATCATCTTCTCATGGGTAAATAGCAGGACAGACTGGATTCTATACCCCTGAAGATGATCTTGGTAAAAATCGAAAGTATTGGAAGTAATAAATCTGACGTATGTTTATCTACAGGTAAATACAGGTACATAAAAACGCACACAGACACATTCACAAACACCCAGAAAACGCACGCATGCACACTTACATATATACATTATCAAATGAAACCCACATAGACAAACTAGAATTATTATACACATACATTAGTCAATTTTATTTTTTTTCAGATAGGCCTAAATCGAAGGTACGGGT